GAATATGGTATATCTTGATAAGTGTTCTATGTGTAGGCCAAAAGAATATGTACTCTGCTGCTGCTGAATGCACTGTTCTATAAATGTCTCTTAGGTCAAGTTGGTTGACATTGTTGTTGAATCCATTACTGAGACAGGGCTGTTGAAATCTTCAACAGTCATTATGGATTTGTGTATTTTCCTTATAGTTCTATCAGTTTTTGCTTTGTGCGTTTTCAAGCTGTTATTGGATGCATACACATTTAGGATTCTTGATGTCTTCTTGATGAACTGACCTTTCATATAAAATGTCTTTTTTGCCTGGTAATATTCCTTGTTTTGAAGTGAACTCTGACTTGTAATATAGGCAGTCCAAATTACTTTATGTCTGCATGGTATATCTTTCCCATTCTTTTACTTTTAGCCTATGTCTTTATATTTAAAGTGGGCTTCTTATAGATAGCAACTAAGTAGGTTCTGCCATTAAGTATCTAATCAATCTCTGTTTTTAACTAGACTATTTAGACCATTTACATTTAATGTGGCAATTAATATGATTTCATTTAAACCTACTATCTGGCTATTTGTCTTTCATTTGTCCCACAGGATTCCTTCTTCTCTTTCCCCCCTTTTCTTGAGTTCTTTTGTATTCAGTATTTTTTTTAGGGTGTGGTTTCTATAGATGGCATTTTCTCCTGATTGTGGGTTAAGTTTTTCTGCTTCCTTGCATACCCAGTAATACAGTGGATGGCAGACACTGTTATTTTTATACTGTTGAGTGCTGAACTTCATTGTGTTCCTTTAAAGAGGGTTGGCCTTTGTTCTGACATGCAGTTGTTACTTAAAGAGCAGTCTGATCCTTTCCAAAAGTTGTTTTTAAGCTTGGTTTAGGTGCTTTACTCTAGGGCTAATTTAGCTCCAGTGGTAAGGCATAATGTTTCTGAGGACACTACCCAATGTCTTGTACAAGATCTGGTCAGTAGGGATGTGACCTATTCCTAACCCCATGTTTCAGGAATTGCTCAGCCTACTAATTTCTGGTACTTTTTTCTCTCCCCATGGGCATTTTCACCCAATACATGTATAGATCAGTATTTGGCCAAGGACTTCAAGGGACCTCCATAAGGAGATAAACTCTAGAGCTTTCTTTCTGTGAAGCTCCTTTTCTGGTATCCTGCTCTGACTTCTAGACACCTTGGGCTATCCAAACTTTGATTTCTGACTCCTTAAGTCAGCAACACTATGAACTCTGTTAGGCTCTCCCATCCCTGCACTTTGAAAACTGCTTCTAGGCAGTGAGCTAGGGATTGTGTCAATGTTACCCTTCTTTCAAGGATTACAGACTTCTACTGCCTGTTGTCCATTATCTGGAAATAGCTGTTTCATTTAGTTTGTTATTTACCTAGTTGTTCATGATGAGAGGTCAGTTTCTAGAGCAGCTAATCCTTCAAAGGCAGAGGAATGTCCCTTATGTCCTTTTTAATTTTTATATATCTGGAATGTAATTCTTCTCAGTTTTATGCAAGCTAGATCAGAACACAAGTCATCCTTACCTTTGTAGACTTCTCTAAAGGTTGATCATATTGTGCCTGTTGCATAACATCACTGACTATCATTTTAGCAATCTTCCAAGCTAGCTCTTCTTGGGCCTAAAACAAAACAAAAAAACCCCCAATTCAACTGTTGATAATGGTTATTCATTAGAAAAATCAAGACTTATATTATCAGTGCTCTAACACAACTATATATGCATATCATGTCTACTTCTTTGGATAAGAAGCACATTCCATGTATGAACGGACCTGGACCACCTTCTGGCTACACTACATTAACATGCTGTTCATGCACTGTCTTCTAGGGTCAGCTACTGGGTACCCAACATCATGACTATTTTCATGTTAGATGATCAAAACAAAAATTTTTCTTTTTCCACTCACATCTCTCAATGTACTTAACTAACTAGTCAAAAAGCAAGCCTCTTCTGAAAACTGACAGTGAGGAAGGAAACATTTGAGCTTTTTGTTTCTACTGATGCCTGCTGGTTGATGAAAACTTGAAGGCATGGATATTTTTCAGTGGCCAGAGTCTCTGAACTAAAGATCCTGCACTGCCCCATGAGGCAACTGTTAGATGCTAAATAGGGCCCGCCCTTTCTTGTTACATCCTGGATAAAAGAGCAATGTGCCACACCACTTAAACATGGGAATTAAAGAAAGAGAAAACTTGAAACCTTACTTACACAAGGTGCCACTTATAAACAGGAATTTCTTTACACTAAAAGTAGACTTTACCTCGTCAGTATTTCCTTGCACCCATTTCTTCATAGCTTGTGAGAACATGAATCCTAGTAAACAAAACCAAAACTGAATGTAGATTTCTTGCACAATTTTACATTTAAAAAGTGCTCTCATTCAAAAGCTACTTCAGAAATGGATATTCTTTTTTTGTGCAATCTCATCTAAAATATTAAGGAATATTACCATTAATCAAAACTAATTATCTCCATTAACAAGTATTTAACTTGCAAACACCATGGTTCAAAAGACTGAAAGGCTGTTTCAGAGTTCTGGACTTTTCTTTCTTTTATTCTCCTCCATCATCTAGTGTTAGATTTTCAGCAAACATTAAGCGAGCAAAAGAAAACTGTGACCAGCATTTGGTCTTAGGTAAGAATCTAGCAATACATCAGGAGATATCAATCTACTTGCTATATATCCAAACTTTTCAGACCAGCTCCTATACAAAAGGGCTTCCAGTAGAGATTACACTGTTAATGGTCAATCTCTGGTCTGTATAAATTAGCTGGGTAAGAGCAGAGTTTTAAATAGCCATGTTGTGTCTGAGCCATGGCACACCTCACTCTCCTAGGAGATACGCAAAAACCTATCCACATCTGTACTCAGGTGCTGAGGAATCACCAGGACATAGGCTAGTCACTTTTTCCATGAAGGAAATACACAGCTTATCCTTTCATTAACACAAATAGGCTCCTGTCCTAACTCTGCTTTAAATCAAATGGTTGGTAGATTATTTCTTAGGCAAGGTCCTTATTACTTCAATGGCTGGATTAGAAGTAAAAATAGCATTCATGAAAAGTACAAAACCTGGATCCATTCCCTAATTTTCAGTATTAGCTAAAAGTCTGAATACTGGTCTAGTTAAACTTTATGGCCAAGCAGTCAACAGGGGCCACAACATTACATGTTCCGCCTAAAGTTGCAAATGGCTGTTGAATTGCCCACTTGCTGCTTCCTCTTCAGGCTCACCCAAAGAGTCACACTGTTGACAGTCTCCTACTTGTTTAACGCTCTCTCTCCTTTTCTTTTTAATACCTACATGTTTGACTCCTTTCTGTGCATTCCTTCCTCGTTTAATAGAGAACTTCTCCAGGACCCCATTCCCCAGCCTTCTTTTCTCCTTCAACATATATTCTTTGGGGTATCTCATCCCCTCCTGTGACTTTAACTTCCTTCCAAATGTAAATAATCAAAAAACTTGTCCTTGGGTGTTAAATTCATACTTACAAATTATCCTAAGGTGTCTCAAACTTAATGTGATCCAAACTGAGCTCGTCTGTTTCCTACCTACTCTTTTTTCTTATATCCTCTATATCTCAGAAATTAATTTAATCCTTTATTAAAAATTCACATCATAAATTTTCACCCAGAGAACCCATGTTAAAAAACTCAATCCACCGGGACACCTGGGTGGCTCAGTCGGTTAAGCCTCTGCCTTCGGCTCAGGTCATGATTCCAGGGTCCTGGGATCGAGTCCCACAGCGGGCTCCTTGCTCAGCAAGGAGCCTGCTTCTCCCTCTGCCTGCCTCTCTCTCTCTGATAAATAAATAAAATCTTAAAAAAAAAAAAACAAAACTCAATCCACCTTCTTCATTTACTCTTTATATGAAATCTGTCACCAAATTCCACCTTGAATGCAATCTCTTGAATTGCCCTTTCCAAGTCTTAGAAATCTGACCTAATTCCTGCTAGCACTACCTACCTTCAAATCCTCTTCTTCAATCTACATTACTAGCTAATTCTACTACCTGACTGGTTTCTCTGATACCAATTCATTCCTGTACCCACTGCCAGAAAAATGCATCTAGTTAGTACTCTGCTAATGCTGGGGGGCACCTGGCTGGCTCAGTGGGTGGAGTGTGTGATTCTTGATCTCTGGGCTGTAAGCTTGAGCCCCACGTTGGGTGTAAAGATTACTTAAAAATAAAATCTAGGGGCGCCTGGGTGGCTCAGTAGGTGAAGCATCTGCCTTCAGATCAGGTCATGATCCCAGGGTACCGGGATGGAGCTCTGCATGGGGGCTCCCTGCTCAGCAGGAAGCCTGCTTCTCCCTCTCCCCCTCTGCCTCCACCCCTCCCCCCATGTTCTCACTTGCAGGTTCTCTCTGTCTCAATAAATAAATAAATAATCTTAAAAAAAAAAAAAAAGGAAAAAGAAAAAGAATCCCTGGGGCGCCTGGCTGGCTCAGTCGTTAAGCGTCTGCCTTTGGCTCAGGTCATGATCCCAGGGTCCTGGGATCAAGCCCTTCATTGGGCTCCCTGCTCCGCAGGAGGCCTGCTTCTCCCTCTCCCACTCCCCCTGCTGTGTTCCCTCTCTCGCTGTCTCTCTGTCAATAAATAAAACCTAAAAGGAATCCCTGATACTTACACGACAGGAACCCAGGCTTCTTACTACAACACGCCAGGACTTTCACAACGTAAGTGCAATTTCACCTCCCACCACTGTATCCAAGCACTAGGACTAGCCACTACACATGCTCACGACATCTTTTACAATTCCTTGTTATACTTTCTCCTAAAGGATTAGAATGCAACTTTTTTTTTTTTGAAAAGATTTATTTTAGAGAGCGAGAGTATGTGTGCACATGCACAAGAGCAGGGGGGAAGGGGGAGAGGGAGAGAGAGAATCTCTAGCAGACTCCCAGCTGAGCATGGAGCCAGACCTGGGGCTTGATCTCATGACCCTGAGATCATGGCCTGAGCCGAAATCAAGAGCTGGATGCTTAACCAACTGAGCCACCCAGGCACCCCTGAATGTAAATTTTAAAATTACTTTGCTTGCCCTGAAAGCGAAGTTCTCACACTCTCAGAAGCCTCTGAGATACAGTCTCAAAACTCAACCTTTTCCTCTGTGCTCTATCAGTATTTCAAAACCCAAACTGAAATTATAGGCTAGTAAATGATGAACATTCTTGCAGCTATCCTCAGCAAGGGAGGAGAAGAAGCAGAGCTGAATTGTCACAACAGTATTCTGAGCCAAAGCCCCGAGATTGCTATTAATCTGCTCTGTGAACCCTAACAAATTATAATTTCCTGGATCTTCAACTGCTTCCTTTGCAGAATAAGGAGGTAGTGTCCATAGAGGTTGCTAAGAAATCTCCGTTTACTTGGGGTCTGAGAAGGCTTGGGAATAGGGTTCTATGAGTATCCTCAGAATAATAATCTGGATAGGAAAACGGAGTGTCTGTGTCAGTTCAAAAAATAATACTTTTCTTAAATTAAATAAATATGATCCATAATCTTACTACCTAGATAGTCTCTGCAGAAATTCCTCTAGATTAATTAATTAAATCAACAAATAGTTAATTAATGCCTATCATGTGGCAGGCATAATTTTAGAATCAGGGAATACAGTGCCAAGTAAGATAGACAAAATCCCTGCTCAGAGAGGTGATATTATACTCATGGAAGAGAAATAGATGATAAATAAGTATGCAAATAAATGAGTAAGATCATATCAGACAGTGCTAAGAAAATAAAGAAGTAGTATGTTAGTGGTACAGATGAGTTGAGATCATGTGGGCTGGGAAGTCCTCTGAACAGAATACTTGCCATGAGAAAGAGCTCATGAAAGCCATGGCAGGGGGAACAGCAAATGAAGAGGCCCTAACAGAGAAGGGACCTCAAAAAAAAAAAAAAAAAAAAAAAAAAGGAGATTCTACTTAGATCCTAGTCCATGAAGCAGAGAGTGGTGCAAGGCAAGGTTGTAGAGGCAGGCAGGGAACATTCATAGGTCACAGCAAAGAGGCGATCCAAAGCTATGGGAGAAAAGATAGTCGGGTAATTAAGCAGTAAAGCATGTAGGGTAAGAAAATTCAAAAAGGAGAGGAAAAGGTATAATGAAAAGTAGAAGGCGTCTCCCTCTTCTCAGCCTTAAACTATGTTACAAGCTTTGTGTATCCTTTCAGGAAATATATGTATATTCTTCTAAAAATATCATATACAAGATCACCTATGATGTATTCTAATCAAAAGGTGTAACTCAAATCGACTTTAGGTACAAATCCCAGTTTACAAGAAACACAGGTAAGAAAGGAATAAGCTGAATAGTATAACCAGGAAAATCCAGAAGACTGGGCATTTTACAGAATAACTAGCATGATAGGCTTGCGAAGTCAGGGTCATAAAAGAGGGACTAAGCTAGATTCAAATAAACTCAGAGTACACCTTCTTATTTGTATCCTTAGCATATAGCATCATCTCTGGCCTTCTGAGTAATGAATCGAATCTGCTGGCTCCTGTATTAGGTCATTTACGTACCACAAAAATACATGACTTAAAGACATGTCTGGACAGCTAAAGGAAGCACTGGGATATATGGCTGCAATTACTCAAACTGCAGAAATTACTATTAATTACTTTATGTAGGCATGTCTCAATTACATTAATAATGCAAGTAACTTGATGGATAAGCCTGCTGGTAGATATATAATCCTGTTGCCTCTACCTTCAAACCCAACCCAAGTCTGACCATTCTTCCATGACCTAAATCACAACCACCATCATCATCCTTCCCTTAGACCATGGCAAGAATGTTGTTTCCCTGCTTCTCCTCTTAACCCCTACATTCTGTTTTCCAAACAGCTGCCAAAGCCACACCTTTAAAACATGAATCACATCCTGGTACTCCCCTGTTCCAACTTCTAACACTTTCAACATCCTACCATGGTCTGTGAGAACCCTCCCAACCTTACTCGCCTCCTCCACTCATCCCTCTGCTCATTTGTCTTCAGCCACACTGGTCTTACTGCTGCCTGATCACACTGGACTCTTAAGCTTCTTGTTCTTGTTCCTCCTGCCGAGAACCCCTTCCTGCAGATCTTGCCAGGGCTTACTCCCCCATTTTGCCCAGGTCTCTACTCAAAATGCAACTTCCTCAGTGAGACCTTTCTTGACAACCATTTTTTTTTTTT